CCGAAGTAGGTGGTGAGCTGCTGAGCTAGAAGAAATATCAACTGGTTTGAAAGATTCGCGGGCAAATATGTGGATCTTTGATCATGATCAAAAACCACTGTCAAAGAATTGTGTGGTCGGCACTTCCCTACTACCTGCACCGTGGAAGTTTACTTTTTGGGGTGCCTGAAAAAGAAATTGTTTGAGTGTAGTAATGTGTAACTGCGGACTCAACGTGATATCTGCATGAAACTTGTCGCGTACAGTTTTGTGGAAGTTTGAGATTTAAGTTTAGTTGCTTTAAGTCCAGCTTAAAAACCCTGACCATTGGCACAGGAAAACTGCAGGGCAGCTAATAGTGTTATTTTTTGAAACCAGCCATATTCTGTAGCCTCCCACCCCTGCCCATTACCGTTAGGAGAGCAATAGCATAAATTCTAGTAATCCATAAGAAGCATCTTACTCTTGTCACTACCCAAGCAGCAGCACTACTTTTAGACCTGAAGTCGATATCCACTCAGTAACTACACGCACTTTGGTGTAGTAGACCATGTGCCACATGTATATGAGGGTTAGTGCTGCCATCTGACTGTTCAGGCCTCAGGTACGACGGGCTTCAGGCCCGTAACCCATCGGTTGGAAGTCCAGTGTCGCATCATAGCATAACTGTTTAAACCATAATGATAACTCGCCGCCTGATTATCATCCAAGGATCTTTCTGGTATGCCAGAAACTCCAGGAACAATTTTTTCACCAGATTAACTCTTTGGGTCTTTGTGATATGCAAGCCTGATCATCGCATCAAGGTAGCAGCTGTCAGTCAAGAGAAGAAACTCGGTATTATATCGTAAATGGAGCTTTGGCTTGGTGGCTTAAGCAGACGACTATCAACCATTAGGTGGTGGGTTCGAACCCCGCTCCGCCTGCCGAGGTTTGAGCAGTCAGGTAGTATCGGAAGTCCTCAAACGCTAGGTGTAGCTCATTGCCTACCGCATGGATATGCACAAGGTGATAGTTTTCTTAAAAAAATACTGAAAACTAAATCATAAAGTTCTGGGCTGCTGGCTGTAGATACTCGTTCTAATAAATCGTAAACTGAAATCTTTAGGATCCTGCATATCGTTAGCAAACTTGGGTTTCATATACCAGTCATTATCATGGAACCTAGCAAAATGGTGCGACAATCCAAGTTGTTATGTCCCACATCAAGGTACAAAGCAACAAGAAATTTTTTCATGATGGAAGTTACTGTGCTTCACATGCTTCAGTTAGACCCTTTTGTCTCATCGTTGGTCTAATCGTCACTGAGCGACCTCTCATGCCCTATAATGAAGCCCCTTATTGAATCATGTGGAGGTTTCAGTCTTCCATATTTAAGCTATACCAGTTATTCAAGTGGTTTGCGAAGGCTCGATTTTCAACGCTCCTCACAGAGTTATCAGTCCGCTAGTTACGTGTCAGTGTTCCTTGTTAATGCATCGTAAACCAGAAAGCTCATCTTGCGGAAAATGTTTATGGCTTCTGACGTCTGCCTTGCAACCCTGGAATAGGTGATCAGTGATTGCAAATTAATTACTACAGAAAAAAGTGGCATTTTAATAAGTTCTTCAGTGTAATTTTGTTTTCAGGCTTGAACGTAGCAAATTCATCAGAAACATATTTTTGATGGATGTTTACACACAATGATGTTATTTTTGTTAATATTTCGAGCAAAATTTACTGCCCGTGATCACACCAATTGTTGAAGTTTTCTACTCCTGGAATAAATATGAACGGTGAAGCCGTATGATACTATCGCCGCAAAAGGAAGGTGGTAGTGGTGCTGCCACCATTCATGCATCCTGGCTGGAAACAAAGCGTGCAGTCTCGCAGGCACAACGAAGTGTTACAACACTTCTATATCCATATAGGTCTGTATTAAAAACCTGCCCCCATTGTGAACCGTAGTGGTGACCATTATCGCCAAACACCTGCCGGATAGTGGGAGTATCTGAAGGTGGAACTGACCGAAAGGTCCCTTGCGGAGAAGACAGCGTTGTGGATCTTCTGCACTTCTCTAACCGACTGGTGGTGGTCGGACTTGTATGTCAAAATAACCCTACCGACTACACTGGTCGGAATACTTGTCCCCTCGAGGTCTTACTATACTAGAGAGATCTGTTTGACACTAGTAAGACAAAAAGCACTTACCTTTGCAGTGTAAACTGCTACATTATGATTGAAGTCCGACGGTGAAGTCGTACTGCTGGCTGGATTGAGTGTGACAGCAACAAGGCGTATTCTTTGGATGATCAGCAATGTCACGCTGATGCTGCCTTCCCGGCGAAAGTGAGGATTGTCCCCAAAAATAAAACACTTCTCCCTGCTCTTCCGGTGCAGGCGGTAAGGGCTTTCTCTAATTGGCGGTAGAATAACCAATTCCGAAATCAGCGATCCCCAAAAGGCTGTGACAGACCTCAAGAAAATGTCCCATGAGTTATGTGGACACATATATCTTTCCCTTCATCTCTTTCAGGTACCATGCAGAAACAACTTCCACAGTGTGGACAGCTGAGAAGTTTCAGCCGCTTCACGCTTCCAGTAGTACACAAAAACCAATCAAACATAACCTATTCTCCTCAACTTTGTCTCTTCATTTGCCTTCACTTCCTGATACTGATACACTAAGCCTCTTACACCCTCTCTAACTTCTCACTCTGCCAACGATCCAAGCCATCGAAACCTCATTCCTAATCTCTTAACACCCCATCGATCTTTTGTAAGAGCTTTCAACGTTCGAACTTTATACCAAATCTCACAGCATGCACCGCTCACCAGAAATCCGGAATCTATAGCCACAGATGTATGCTGTCTCTGAGATGCGTATACACGGCCCAAGCGTAGTTATTAAATTAACACAACCTACCCATAGTAATGTATCTTCAAAATTCACCTTATGAGTATGATGCAAAAAATGAATTCTATGAAATGCTGTCACTTTTGCTACAAAAAGCATAGCGTTCAAATATATTCATAATACCAGGCGACTTCAATTATTATTAGGACTTCTGTGCTAAAGTAGTAAAGCGAAGGGCATCTGGAAAGTATCTACGTAATGCTATACCAACGAGTCGACAACGGTGACCGTCTGTTGCATTTTCGTTCCGACGATTATTAGTTCCTAGCTAACACTAACTTTTAGCATAGGGAGAGACAGTCCACGAGGTCCACCGACATCAAACCAACGGTAGTCACGAAGTATCATATTGCTATAAGCCGCCGTTGGAGAGGATTGCCGCTCATTCTGGAGTACCAGTTTGGACTCCGATCACGCTCTAGCACGAGCACATATGTGTTTGCTCCTTACTGATAGCAGGATGCAGGCGACAGTAAAGTCTGTGTATTCTCGACTGGAAGATGAAAACGCCATGTGCGTATTAAGGATGGAGTTAGCTAAGTATTCGTCCGAACGAGACAGCAGTCGTCATTCTAAGGAAACCTGGCGTGGCGTTATATCAAGTCTGTTGCAGAAACAACGGTAAAGACAGCTGGTAACCTACACCTGAAGGTTAAGAAACGTCATTGGATTGATACGACGTCATCCGAATCGATTAGTGCGAGATGACTGATTCCAGCTGGCTCTGATCACGATAAAGAGCAAAGCAACTTAAACGTAAATTGACCAAGAGTCTTCGCAATGATCGTGAACAGCGATGAGGGGCGAGGACGGGAGAGATGGAGAAGGTCTGAGCGTTAGGTAATACCCGGCAACTATTTCGACTTATTAAGGATACTGTCGAGGAGAAAATGATGGTTAGTGAAACCATCACCGAAAAGGATGGGACGCTGATAACCTCTCGGGACAGGTAGGTAGAACGTTGGGCAGAACACTTTGAAGCACAGTTCAAGGTTTCAGTTGCCCAATATCCAGTCTGAGCCTTAATGAAATGTAAACATCGATCCCCCAACTCTCGCCGTAGCTGAGAAAGCTGTTTTCGAACCTGAGATGATGCGAAGCAGTTGGACCTGACGATTTGCTATCCGAAGTTTTTAAGGATGGAGGCAAGGAACTCGTAATTAAAGTGACGGAAGGACTGAGTAGTGTATAGGAATCAGAAGTGGTGCCGTCAGACTAGTCTACTTTTGTAATCATCCTAGTCTACAAGAAGGAAGAGAAGTCTTCCTGTGACGACCATAAGGGAATTAGTTTGACTATTATTGTGTCCAAGTTTGCACTATCCATAGTTATCCGACTCCTAACTGGATGTTAGACAACTGAAACGTTGATGTGGGCCAGTTAAACTGTGCTTCAGTGTTCTGCCCAACGTTCTACCTACCTGTCCCGAGAGGTTATCAGCGTCCCATCCTTTTCGGTGATGGTTTCACTAACCATCATTTTCTCCTCGACAGTATCCTTAATAAGTCGAAATAGTTGCCGGGTATTACCTAACGCTCAGACCTTCTCCATCTCTCCCGTTCTCGCCCCTCATCGCTGTTCACGATCATTGCGAAGACTCTTGTCAATTTACGTTCAAGTTGGGGAAATTGAAGTTCAGCTAGCAGCTGCGATCACGTTCGTGTAGTAGGCCATGAGTCATACCTATTGTAATGGCTAATGATACCACCTTGACTGAGTAGACCTCGGTAAGTAGATCAGGGTTGGAACGCGTGGTCCATCGGTTGAAAGTTAAGTGCTTAGGCTGATGAGTCAACTTAAGCTGGCATGCTAAACTACGCCATGCTGCTGCGTCGCGTTATTTTCTCCCAGTTCGACAGGTAGTAGTAGTAGTACAGCTTCATTCGATTCTTATAATCTCATCGGTGTCCGTCGCAGCTTTTTGATACGCTATGTTCTGACCAAATCATCTTTATAACGATTAAACTCAGTAACGTTGAAATGAAATGGTTTCATTCTGTAATATCAAGTTAGGAGCAAGATAAATTTGTAGTTAGCTATTAGCAACTTAGATGTCCCAACGTTATCGTATTTGGCCATTATGATTCTTCATGTTCACTACTTAAATAAATGTCTTGGTTTTCAGATGCCTCTTATCAGTACGAAGCTGCATGTGCTGAACCCAGTGTGGAAAAAGAAGAAATCTCGTGACTCGGAACAACCTGAAGAAGCAGAGTCAAAGCCGGAATTTATTGTCCCCGAAACACAAGAAATTTGTACATCTGCTGAAGAATTGCTGCGAAAAACTACCATTTATAATGAAAATATCTGGACGTGTCGCGTTACCGGAAAAACGAATTTGACTTACCGAGAAGCTCAGAAAGCTGAAGCGACTGGCATTCGAACGCTGAAAAAATGTTTTCCGAAATTCTTCGAGAAAACTATTCTGGAGCGTGTTCATTTAAGTGAGCTTATCTTACTGTACACTTGACTGCATTAAAGGTATTTCACCTCTAGAATCTCTCGTACATAGTTGTTGGACTGCAATACATGAACAGTTTTATATTGCCGAACCTGTAAAGCTGAAAGTTGATTCTGTTTCTAATACACCGTAAGTTCAAATAAGTAAAACTTACTTTTTATTAGCATACGTGGCATTATAGATGATATTATCAAGTCACAAGCTGTACCAGTAAGATATGAATCCTAATGCCCATTCATGCTTTAGACATCTGTTCCAGATAACACCTCACCTAACAATAGTGATAAAGAAAATGTCACAAAGAAGAATTCTCCTATCAAAGTAGTTTTTAGTTCTTAAAATGATTTCTCTAGAAAAATTACGCCTACAGCGTTAAAGTTCTTTCGGACATCCCAGTTGTTGTACATGATGTTCCAGCTTGTTCCATAGAGTAAGAAATATATATGACTGATTTTGATTCCTACAGTCGTGTCAATCGTGCACCGTCCAAAGAACACATTCGGATGTTTATTCGCAGTCATGCTATGCGCTATGGACCGAATTTTTCAGGTCCTTGGATTGTAAACGAAGAACTCTTACGACGTCACAAGATACCTTTGAAAAGTCCTGGATGTCAAGTCGATAAGGCTAAGGTACGTTTAGCGTATTTTTATGACTTCCTTGTTTACCTAGACATCCGTACACCTTCATTCTTGAAATAACCTTTCCTGATCCAACTTCCTCAATCACCTGGTTATTTGTAGGCATCATTTGTAAAGCTTCTTATTAGACCCAACCTTAACACTATCAAACCAGAAACTTGTCCCTACAATCTTCGTTTCAAACATTCGTTCGCCAAATTACATGTATAACGTTGATATGATGTATGACTACTTACTAAAAGATAATTGCACTGCATAGCAGCTCGCTTTGTTCTATAATACGACTGTGAAATATGAATATTCAAGACAGAAAATCTAATTTAATACGTATTCGATTGTCAGGGTATTCCAGACACCTCTCGTATTTGGTGAAATCACTAAAGAGGTAATGTTGAATTAAAACGTAGTCCTGGGCAAGTAGCAAGTCATTTAACTAGGTAACGGTTGTTTTACACCTTCTGAACCATCATCTACTTTTAGGTACAATACTAGCCTGGAAAGCGCCTGAAGGTGATATGGTACCAGTATATGAAGTCACTGACTTATTGGTCTGCTCTTTGTGGGTTAATGTAAGCTACCTATGGCTCAAAACCGACGAGATAGTACAAGTGCACGTTTTAGCATTTTCTGCAGCTTGAACTAATCATTACTTACTGTGTATATATTTTTTCTTGTACCGTTAGCCGTCTCGTATTCTAACTGATTTTTCTCCGTGCTTTTTTGAACTGCGGTAACCTAAACCAATGTTTTTTTTGACAGTATTTATGGCCTAATGTGTTTATTGGTTTGTATTCATGATGTATTAGTGAATTTTAAAGTAATTGTAAATGATTGCCACTTTTTCATTTTTTTCACGCAACCGTTACAGCTGAAACAAATGTCGAGGCTATTGAGGAGGAATACTATGTCCGTATTATGAATTCACGACGTCAGTCTAATGGAGAGGGTACATCGGAAGATGTTTGTGCCAGTACACCATTTAATTTTAAGCGTGCTAAACGCTTTTCCGTACTTCGTGAGGACAACGCCTGCCAGCTGAGTGATGACAATGAAGACAACGTACCACTAGCACAATTGAAGGATCGTACTCAGCCTAAGCAATCAGACGATGGCAGTAAAAAGAAAATGAAGCAGGTATGTTTCCTGAATATCTCTTCGTCGGTGTTTATTTTCTGTAATATATTTGAAACGGTTTACTATAGTGTTTATACATTTACATTTAGTTTTCAAGTTTGCGTGTGATGACTCTTAATATGCCAACCGATTTCGTCGACTGAACCTGCAACCCTAGTATTTTGAAGTTCAAAGTCTAAGCTGATAATCTACAACCCCACATGATCAGAATAGTATATCTTTTATTATTATTGGAGGTATTCGAAGGCGATCGTAATAAAACTTTAAACTTTGTTTCCTCTTTTTCAATAAAGCTGTTTGGTCTCGTAAAAGTTCGAATGGTGTGAACTTCCTCACAACTTTAGATATCAATATTTCTAGATTTTTGAGTTCAGCTTCCAGTTTTACATTCTGTGGTAACTAGGTTTTCACCCCAATCAATAGTAACTTTATGTCCATCACATCGATCGATCTGTTTCTAAGTGTAAATGTCCTTATTGGCTTAGTGACTTTGCCGAATAGAAACACTGTTTTATTCACACTAGTAGAACGTGTAAGGTGATTAACAGTTCAGCTGTTCGGAAATGTATACTAAACAGTGTTTAAAGATCTTAGTAAATCATACAGTCAAACATAACGCACTAGGTGACTTGAAATGTATTTGAATTGCTGGCTAAACCTGAACAAAATTCAAGTCTGTAGGTACAGAATACGGCTTCATCATCAGTTTCAAGTTGCAGAACGATCATAATATACTTTAGACTACAGGAAAGTAAAAGACAAACAGTTCAGTGAAGAGAATTTTAACTGATTTACCGCTCAAAACTGTACAGCCCTAAGTATATGCAGTCTTCTGATAAAATATTCAAATGTTTTTAACATTTACAGTAATTTTTGCTTAAAGAACATGATAAGAAACAAAGTAACTAGTCATAACTCAAAAATACTAAGAACGGTAAGTATTCGTCAAAGTTAAATAGGAAATGAATAGAGATAAGCAAGTAGGATTATGAACATCCGGGCCATAAGTGTTACTAATATGCTGGAAGAATTTAATAATCAAGTTAGGATAAGTATTTATGCAACGTAGTAAAGTAAATTGCTTTCAAAAGAATGTAGAGACAGGTTAGAGTCAATACTTTGTAAGAAGTGTGCAGAATGAAATAAGAAGTGATTTAATGCTTTAAAGTTTATTACCATGAAAGTCTGTTGTATAGGAAGCTTCGAATTGTTTATGCGAATCACTCGAGTCTTTGCAATACAAAAGAAACAAAAATGTAACCTGTTTCTGTAATATGTTTAGCTATCAATGAAAAGGGTCGTCTCCCACCAGCGTTTATCAAGGTTTCACACTCCATCGGTTTGTGAATCCATTTACGTACATGTTATCTCACCCTAAACTGCATGGATCAGTTACTCCTTACTATGTATGTGTACCACGCATGCATGTAAGTTGGTAAACACAATGGGATCTAGCGTAATTATTGATGCAGTGTATGGGTTTGTGTTGAAGAGTGTGTTTTGATTTTCCACAATGATAAGATTAGCCGCATAATATATTTTCTCTCTGTCTGAAAATTACCCCATTCAACTCCCCTCTGATATGGACGCTTTTCTCAGGAATCACGTATAGAGTTGGCTTTGGTGCTATAACTTCTACGACGGTTTATAAACTTCGATGGATATCGGTTTTTTAAAATAAGTGTTTTGGTCAGCGATTTGATATCTTCATCCATCATATCTAATGTACAGATGCGATATATTCTATTTAACAGGCATTTTACTAGACGGCTTGAAAAATTCAGGTATGATCCTGTCCAAGTAGGCGTTCTGTAAACTGACCGTCTGATTGAACCATGTCATCTACTCATGAGTACATCTAAGAATGGCAGATGATTATTTTTCTCTTTCTCACATGTCGGGCTGATGTGAGTTTGTACGGTGTTCAAACTTTTTAGTAGATAAACCGTATATTCATGCCTCTCACAAATCGCTATGATGTCATCAATATATCTCTTGTAAGAGAAACTTTAGCGAGGAGATCATCAGCCAGATTCTCGATAGATGACACATAAATATCAGCAAAAAATGGTGTAAGGGACTACCCATAGCTACACCGTCAACTTGTCAAAAGCGTTCACCTTCAAGTGTGAAGTGAACCTTGTCGGTACGTAGCAATAATTGTTTTCTTCAGAAAAGTTGGAGTAATAAGAAATTGAAGGTTTCAAGAAGATGTGTAGTCACAGAGAGTAGTCTTAGACAACAGCACGTTAGTGGACAAAGAATTTACATCGAGAAGAGTACATAGTTTTGTTTTTGATATTCATGTTAATAAGACAGTTAACAAGTTGGAAAGTATCTTTTAATGAAAACTTACAGAATTCGTTTCAAACTAGATTTAACATTTTCGCTGGTTTACGTCTGGGGGAACGACACAAAATCAATATAGGGCTTAAAGGATCATGAATTTTATGAATTTTAGGTAATCCATATAAATTTGAAAATTAAGATCCCATAGGTTTTAATGAATTAAATTCCTCTTCGCTAATGGCATTCATTTTTCAAAAGTTTTACTAAATTAGCGGTTATTTTTGCTACCAATTTTCTAATATTTCTGATAGTATATTGGCCATGAATTTACTTTCATCAATGAGGATGGATAACACCTTATTTTTATCGTCGGATTTATTCATCATAACAATGCCTGATCCCTCATCGGGTTTGAGAATGAATATGTCTGATTTGTTCCGTAATTCTCTCAACGATGTGAAGTGCTGTGAATTCGAAATGCATCTTCGTCTTGTTTCTGAATTATGGTATTGATGAGCAATATCAACTAATTTGGCCTTTAACTAACTTTAATTATATGAAGGTGTAGAAACAAGAGGACTCAATTGGTTATTGGGATTTTCAAACTGAGCATCAATATCCAACTGAGAGGTTTTCGTGTGTGGAACTGAAAAACTGAATCCAGGGAAAGTGTCTCTTTTTCATGAATTGAAAGCACAGCAGAGGACGAATTAGTCACATTTATCTGGATCGCATGGAAATGACTTTGTCTGTCACTGGAACGGGATCTTGTTCTATCCTATCCTACAAAAACTGATGAGTTTAATGTGTCAAATAGGATAAATGTCCCACAGCGAAGATGAAACATGAGAATGGACTTCAGTTAAACTGTATGACTTCTCACTGGAGTTATCCACATGGGATTTTGTAAGCTAATCTTATCATTGTGGAAAAATCAAAACACACTCTTCAACACAAACCCATACACTGCATCAATAATTACGCTAGATCCCATTGTGTTTACCAACTTACATGCATGCGTGGTCACACATACATAGTAAGGAGTAACTGATCCATGCAGTTTAGGGTGAGATAACATGTACGTAAATGGATTCACAAACCGATGGAGTGTGAAACCTTGATAAACAAAGATGTGCAATTGCAAGGATTAATTCACTGAAGAAATCTCTTTCGTAAAGATGATAAAACGCCTTTCGATATCAATGAAGGAATTTCTAAGTTACATTATTCTTATTCACCAATCATGGATTTCTTCTTACCTTGGAATCTGAAACACAACAGCATCCTTACACTTAGTGTATCAGAGCTGTATTCCGTAGGGTTTTCACTAACTGGAGTAGTTAGAACGTGGTTTAATTCATCATTCATTCCATTTGATAACAAGATAAGTTGGGAGTAAATTGAAAAAAGGTGTAAAGTAGAACCAATTCATGAAGTTAATAGCGGTTATTTCTCGTCATCAAAATCGATCTCAAAGACGAGAATGGAATTATCATCTATCTTGCAACTCAGCAATCGGGTACAAAACTATGTACTATATTAAGTAGTCATAATTAATGTGCGAACAACTATGGCACTGCCAGATTGCCTAGATCTAAGTGGGCAGAGTGGTTTCTGAACCCGAAACTTCATTGCTTGAAAGTTGGGTTCCTTAAGCGAATGACCTGCATCTCCATACCGTGTTCAAATTTTAGGCCTATCTACCTTACACTGGATCTTGTACTTCTTATTGTTCCTTATTTATTTGTTCCCCTTCAACTATTGTCCTTGTTACCTCACGTTAGTGTTTATCTCTTTCAGATATTTTACTCTAATGTTCATCAAATAGAACTGAAGTATTATTCTGTTCGGCTCTACTTTTTCTCTATGTATTTCCTGTTGAAATCCAAGAGGAAGATCGTTTTCTACTTTTAAAGGCTAACTGCAGTTATGGTTTTCATGACTAATAATATTTTGTTCGTTTCAAATGAAACAGTACATCGTAACACAACACTGCATCATGGAAGCCATTCGTCTTTCTTAGAGTAAATGTTTTTGTGGGTGAAAAAGTCAGTTAGTTACGGTTAAGCTAAGCTTAACAATCACTCCTAATTATGTCTTCTATGCTACATCTACTACTATGTTGTTTTATTTTATTTGACACCTAGGCCACTCTGTTTCAGTTTGGTAAGAAGAATCCTGCTAAAGATCAAACAACGAGCTTGTCAACTGTGAATCGTCCTAAAAAGAGTATCAATGAACGGAGTGTACTACCTCGAGTTGCCCAACATCTCATCAAAATGTATGAAGAAAACCGAAATAATCCAGCTATAGAAACTCAAATCAAACTCTGTGCCAAGTTCATCAGTGATGTGGATATACTCAAGTTGCCTGTCGAATTGCGTGATCCCGTACGAGAAAAGAAGGAGGCATTTGCATTCAAGAAAAAATTGTATGTCTTGGTTTTTAGTTTATAAAAATAATAGCGATGTGCATTGCATAATGTTTAATGTTTACACCAATAAGTTTCAGATTCAACTCCTATCTGACCTTACCTTATAGTATTTGTGTATCGTTTGTTACCTTATATCTTGATATGCTGATATTGAAGTGTCACAAATCGGACCATTGCACAGTAATGCTAGGTCCCATTTTGATAATATCTGATTTTGCCTTTATAATGGATGACTTTTAAGTGAATGCAAGTCATAACGAGCGGATCAAAAAGCGCTATATCGTACCCATTTATTTTTGTAATGCATCGGAATAATACATAAGTTAGAACTGGAAGTATTTGACATCCTAAACAAGTGCTATTAGTTTCCTTGTTCTTCTTACTGTTTCTTTTCTATTCACTTGATGGAGCAGTATTTCCACCGATTATATATATATATATATATATATATATATATATATATATATATATATATATATATATAAGAAATAAGGTATCAATTTCAGCTGAAAAGTTATTGGATTGATAAACAGTCACCTTGGAGCATCAGCAAACATGCATTTCCGCAGTCACAACAGTTCCATTCTGATAGTCTATGTTTCTTCACCGACTAAGATGGTATGAACTCATTGCATGTAGAATATTAGTTTAGTTCCTTCAGGATGTTTTTATCGTAAAGAACAAGTCAACAACTCTAATTGTATTTGGAGATCATATTATGGTCACCCTGGCAAATGCTGAAACAACCAATAAGTTCTCGATATTTCGACCAGAAAGTTAGTTTTTCATAAAATAAACGTAATTAGTTATCTCAGTAGTTGCTAAGGTCCCCTTTAAAGTCACTACATTTGGAGTCAAATATGAACAAAGAATATTCTTCGTCCATATTTGACTTTTGATATATGAAATGTGAATTCTTGTCTGAAATCGTATAACTTTGTATATGGTGTTATTGAGCCCTATCCGATTTGAAATGTTCAATAATTTGATCTCTATGTACAATTAGAGTTGTTAACTTGTTCTTTACGATAAAAACATCCTGAAGGAACTAAACTAATATTCTACATGTAATGAGTTCATACCATCTTTATCGGTGAAGAAACATAGACTATCAGAATGGAACTGTTGTGACTGAGGAAATGCATGTTCGCTGATGCTTCAAGGTGACTGTTTATCAATCCAATAACTTTTCAGCTGAAGCTGATGCTTTATCTTTGTGATTCAGATATCTTCAGTGCTTCGATAATCGAAATCAGTAAATATGTTTTGAAAACACAATTACTTTCCATCTATTCACATACTTCTGGTCTTTCAATATTTTAACTGTCTTGTTGAATTCTTCCCCATCTGTTGTTGAAATGTAACAACTTGCACCAAAGCCGTATTGTGTAAGATTCCATTTTCTGCTCTATCTGCGCAGATATTCAAAGTCCATAAATTACTTCCCATCTGTTATTATGATAGAGAAGAAGAATAAAATCCACTCAGCTACTTTGTACACATCCTTGCAGTAGGCAATGAGCTGCATCTATTGTGTGAGGACTATCGATACTACCTGGCTTCCCAAACTCCGGCAGATGGGGCCGCAGCTTGAACCCGTTACCTAATGTTTGGTAGTCATCTCTCTAAACCACTGAGCCACAACTCCACTTTGTTATAGTAATAGGCTACTCTATAATTACTTGCATTCCACAGTTATTACTCTGTTATGTAGAGTTATAACAGTTGATATCAGTTTAATGTTGTAGCCGTAGATCATAATCAAAAGTGTGAAATACGAGGTGTATTTTTAATCGACATGGAACTTATCTGTAAAAGATACGTCTCTGACTCTAGTTGAGGAAGTTGGTAGATCGGGGTCCAGGCATATCTCCATACTTTCTGTTTCACTTAAATGCAAATTTTTTAATGATTTTCACTTATATTCAGTTTAGTAAGTAATAACCTCTCCTTGTACCATCCTGTGAGGGTCATGGGACGCCAGAAAAGATTTAATAGATATGAGTTCAACTCTATAACCCGGACCACTTTAGACAGATTATCTGTTATCCATTCAGTCATTTATAATTGGTCATTTACACAGTGAGAACACTAGAAGTTACTATCATGCATTAAATTTTGTCTACAGAATTTATTTTAATGTGGTGTGTGAAAAATCTTATTGATTTTCAGCAGGATATTCTTTGCATACAAAAAGAATAAACGGTTATAAAAAGATTTAATTCAGCAAGAATGTATTCTAATATTTCATTAGCGTGAGAAACTGGTAACTTGAATAATTAAAGTTTAACTGATACTTCTAGACTATTGGCGTGTAATTGAGACGAAATATTATATTAACCTTGACCTAATCTCTAAAGTATCTACCGTACTAGTTGGTTCACAGAAGAATTTATTCGAAGCCAACTTGATTTTTAACCCTATTGTGACCCATTGGAAATTGTTATTTAGTTTATCTAGCATTTTCATAGTATTTTCCAGCTCTTTATTGATGAGCTGTTTCATATTTATGTTGATTAAGTTTTGATTTCGATGCATACTTCCAAATATTTCCTAGAATGCTATTGGCGTACATTTCAAGTTAATCTTAAAAGTTACTTCTTTCTACCGTAAAAATTCAGGATATTTATTTTACTTTCACTTTATCTCAATTTTAGATTGACTATGTCACCAGCTCAACGAAAAGAAGCACTTCAAGAAATGAGAGAAAAGCGACGAATGGAGTATATTCATGCCAAAAAATTACTTGATGATCAGCAGCTTATGAAATCGTTACCTCATTGCCCTCGTTTACCTGAACCTTCTAAAATTGAACTTCCTAGTGGTTTTACAGAATCCCTCTTTGGGCGTTTGTTAGGATTAACGGAGTTTTTCCATGTATTTCATAGCTTACTCGTCGAAGCATCTGTGGATAGTGTTGAAATGGATACTATGCCTGACAATGCAATCGTGTCTACTTTCATTCGCTCTCCACTTGAGTCACTTGTACCTGGTGCTGGCGAACCTGGTTACTCTGATGATGATGACGAAGGAAATACTGATGAAGAAGAGGAGGAAGCTGAACTTTCTGAATCAACTGCACCACTCCCCAAAATATGCTTGAAAGCATTGCGTCGCCTTGGGCTGAAACGTCTTCTTAACGCTATTTCTACAAATAATCCATCAGCTGGTGCTTATCGGTCACTAGCTCGTCCTTTAAGTGTCTTACTACGCTTAGCTTTAAGAGATGAACAGTTAAGTGTAAGTAACATTTCTTGTTGTTTGAAGAGCACTTAGCAATATTAACTTCCACACTCTTTTGTTTTGGATATTTCTTCCCATTGCCAAGCGTGCTTGGTAGGCGTAAACGTATCTATGTACGCTACATTTGTCTAAAATTACAACTATCAACCGTTTGATTACGGGTTTCAGCATAACTCTGTGTTCTGTAACTATGATAATTGTGTATTGCCAATGGAGCTCCTATGTTAGGTGTAGTTTCCAACCTAGTTCATTGCTAGCCTAGCTTTTTTAAATTACTCATTACTTCAGATCACTGTTTTGATTCTACATATATTTCCTCATGTGTTTCATAACAATGAACAAAAATCTTATGGATTACCTTTATTTATTATTTATTTATCCCTTGGGTTCCTAATGGAACATAGGGCTCCAGTAGCACGTCTCCATTCCACTCTCTTCTCTAAAATCTTTTCAACCTGTCTCCACGACAGCCCAGAAGCTCTTATTTCCTCCTCGCACGATCTCCTCCATGTCACCCTCGGACTTCCAACTCGTTACTTCCCATCGGGTTCCACTCGAGGGCCTGACGCGTGATGTCCCCAGTCGGCCTTCTCAGTGTATGCCCAATCCATCTCCACTTCCTCCCAGTGCATATTTGTTGGGTGGTAGGTTCTTGGTTGGTTCGTTCCCAGAGTTCCTTGTTGCTTATTTTTTCTGGCCATCTGATCTTCAGCAGCGAGCGTAAGCAGTTGTTGATGAATGTCTGTAGTTTATTGGAAATGCCTTTCGTGACGCGCCAAGTCTCTGAGCCATACAAGAGCACTGACTTGACGTTGGTGTTGAAAATCCGTATCTTGTTCCACATGCTGAGTGCAGTAAAGCAGATTTCCACACTGGTTTCAGGCTAATGAACGCCTGTCTTGATTTTCCAATCCTGACTGGCTTTGACATCCTCGTCTGTGCCGCCTGCAGTTGAAACAATGCTGCCCTGCCTAGATAGGTGAAGGAGGCTACTTCCTTTAAGTTTCTCCCATTGATAGTGATTGGTGTCTCTTGTTGTTGTTGTTGTTGGTTGGGTATCATCATCACCTCTTTCTTCTATACATTCACTTGAAGTCCTGTCTTCGCTGCCCTGCCCTGCCTCTTCTGTCAACTTGTTAGTTTTCGCCTGTAGGTCTTCAAGTTTGTGTGACATTAGACACAAGTCACCGGCGAAATCCAAATCTATAATCTTTTCATCGGTCCGGCGTATCCCCCTATTCTCGCTCCTCACTGTTTGTTGCATGATCCAGTTGACCACAATTACGATGATCATCGGTGATAGTAGATAGACTTGTCTAACTCCTGTCTTTACTTCAAAGGCACCACTGAGCTTCCCATTATGAATTACTTGGCATGTGGCATCTTCATATAGTTGTTGAATGAGATTGATAACGGTTTGTGGTATTCCGTAGTATTGAAGCAGTTGCAAAATTACTTGTCGGTTGACGCTGTAGAAGGCCTTTTCAAAGTCGATGAAGTTGAGGTAAGGTAGCGAGTTGACTACCATTCTATACTCTGTTCTATGATGATGCGTAGCATAAGGTTGCAATTTGGTCCACACATGGTTTATATTTTCTGAAGTCAGCCAGCCCGTTCCGGTCGTAGTTTTGAATCTAGCCCATCCTTTACTCTCTCCAGGATGATGCAGCTCAATATTTTGCTTGGGGGTAGACAGGAGTGGAGCATGATTCGGCGCCACTTTTTGCAAAGACTTAGGTCTCCCTTCTTCGGGAGTTTGACAAGGTAGCCCTTCTTCCAGTCAGTCGGCAGGTACCTTCCCTTCCTTCCTTAAAAACCTTCTGCAGTAGTGGTGTGAAGATGTCTGCTGTTGTCCCTGTGTCTGTTCTCAGTGCTTCTGGTGGGATTCCATCTGGTCCTACTGCTTTCCCCCATTTCAGTAGCTTTATGGCGTTGCGTTCAGGACTTCGACTTTTGGAGGATTATGTTCACTTGTAGTTCTGTGGCTGCAGTGGTATTCTGGAGATGCAGGTGGTGGTTGATTCAAGAACTTTTTGAAGTGGTCGGCCCGTTTCTGTTTCTCTTCTCTGGTAATTAGATTCTAACCTGGTTATTTGATACAATGTTCAGGTCTCTCTTACCTGCAGCCTGTTGTGCTTCACTTGCCAGGGTTTGTAGAAGTGTCTTTTGTTTTGCACTGTTCACTTCTTTTTCCAGTGTAGTGTTTTATACTGTACTCAGTTCCTCTTGTGTTGAGCATCCTTGCACTGGTTCATCTTCTGTCTTACCCTCCTCTTCCCTGCTCTATCAGCTTCCATGTGTCCGTTGAGAACCATTCTTTCTTCTTCCTTGCTAATATTGTTGTGCAGGTTTCTTCCCACATAGCTTTCGAAGAGTTCCAGTGTTCATCCACACAGGTTTCTTCAGGGATGTTGCTCGATATCTCCCACTTTGTTTTGATGGTTGCTGTGAAGATTTCCTTTATAGTTTCGTCCTTCAGTTTCTGGTTGTACTTGAACTATGGCCTATCATCAACTTCCTTGAAGACTTTAACTTGATTTTTGAGGTGAGTTTCTTGCACTGGATAGTGAGTGGTGTGAGCCTACATCTGCTTCTCTTCTTGACCTTTTGTCAAGTAGGCTGCATCTCCACTTTCTTGAGATTGAAGTGAAGTCGATCTGATTTTCTAGTGTGTCCTGGTGTCTTTTGAAATCCATGTCGCTTTGTGGATATCCTTGTGCTTGAACACACTGCCTCACTGCAATCGCTAAATCGTTGAATGCGCAGAATTCTGCAAACACTTCTCCATTCTCGTTCATCACCTCACCGAGCGCTTCTCGACCCATGGTTAGTTGTCTTCCTGTGTTGTCCGCTCCCAGTTTGGCATTCATGTCACCCCACCCATTAGAATTTTGATGTCGCCAACTGAGGTTTTGTTTGGTGTTGATTGCAGTTGTCTGTAGAATTCCTCCTTTTTCCCCTGATATGCATTATTTGTAGGTGCGTAGTATTGGATTGTCGTAACTTTCCTTCGTTTACAGTTGAACCTTGCTGTTACGATCCTGGAGGAGATTGGTTCCCACTGTAAGAGAGCCTTCGATGCTGTTGGGGACATTATGATAGCCACTCCATAACTCGGTGTGTTTGTGGTTGTCGTCTGGTTGACAATATCGGAGTGGATTTTTGTTTCTCCAGTTGAAAGTTAGGAGAGCCCACTTCCATTCCATCTGTAGATTCCCCGCAGATTCCCAACACTTCTATGCTATACCTCCTCACCTCTTTTGCAATGTGGGCAGCCTTACTAGGTTCAAACATTGTGCGGAAATTCCATGTTCCCATGTTTACTCTTGCTTTCATCGAGAGAATACACATCGGCCAATTGGCTTCCCGAAGGCTTTCACCGACCGGCGTCATTTCGCCTCTCCGATTGTAGCGAGGAATAATTTTGCTTTTCTTTTATATATTTTGTTTGTGCTTGCAAGTTTTTTTAGCGGTTAGATTTGTTTTACAGGGTAGGGTTGCTAGCCTTACACCCAACCTTCCCTCTTACCTGGGCTTAGGACCGGCTGGTAACTAGTGAACTAGTTAACCAGGCGAGGTTTCATAGGTTAATAACATATTTTATTTCTAGTATTCTGATATTTCTATCCTAATTCCACCTCAGTTAGTATGAAATATTGCAGTATCTTTTTAGCATATGCAACACTTCCCAGCTACCTATATAAATGAAAGTTCGCGTTCTGACCTACTCCTTTACGTACCGTTGCTAGTACGGTACACTTGATTTCAGCATTGTTCACTGCATGATTCTATTACATTTTATTGATACTCTGACGGTATCAATAATTATTTATTTGTTGTGTTAGTAAATGCTCCATTTTCAGAGAGTTTTAGTTTCACAGTTACGTGGTACAGTAAAAAAGATGCTACTGCTACGTAGTAGATCCTGTTTTGAATAGGTATTCTACTATTTCTCCAAAGATAGCCTGGGTTTGCCACTAGTCAAAAAACATGTTTTTCAGGCATCAATTTAACATGACATAACTTCTGAATCAAGTTAGTATGTCAACCTAACTCGTTTTTAAGGTAGTACCACACTGATGACTTCTTGTCAATAAAGCCAATAATATTATCATATAGACTTACGAAACAGATGTCTCTGTAGGTCATTTTACACCTTCAATACAGAACTCATCACTTTCACTGTACTCAATGACTTCTTTTATTTGTAGATTGGTTTCAGCAGTTTGCGATCTTTGGTTCAATTTCTTTAATTTCTTGCACAAAATAACTTTGATTTGGCATTGAAACACAGCACTATGATGATTCTTCTATTCTTTTTATAATAAGTTATAACAGTTTGTCTAAACTTTAATTTCTAGAAAAAGTGTGAGTTGGGTATAAAACTTTCAAAACTCCCAGTTACGCCGTATACAGCTCCTGAACTCCTCAGGTTGACACTTTTACACGAGGTTCCATTGAATCTTTCTTCTGTAACTGGATCGGAACAACTACCAAACCACAATAATCTTATCACAGAGTTTAAGGTGAGTGTATGAATTTCGTTTTACAGTATCGCTTAATTAACTGTTCTTAATCTCTAAAATCAGGAATTCAATGTTCATTTAATCAAAAGTACCGATGTTCATTATTTTTCGAAATGAATGAAAAACAAAACAAGGTTCTACTTAGACCAATCATCGACTGTACAGATGTACAGTCTCTCAAATTATGTTGATTTAATACTAAAGCCCCTTTAAAAACACTCGGGACAATTAGACATTCATTTAACTTCATTAAGAAAATGTGTTCTTTCTTCTCTCTTGTTGTTTTTTGAAATACTAAAGTTGACGGGTGAATATTCTAGTCAACATTTTATGTGGTAGCAGTGTAGTTGCGTAAGAACCACCGATTTCTTCCTCACTAACTCCAGCAAGTTCATTATTTCTCTGTGTGGGAAACTTAACAACACCATCTTGGTCTGGTGGCATCTCTTTACAAGTTCAGTAGTAATCTGGGGAGATTATCTAGAAGATTCGAGGAAAAAGGAATGCATGAATAAATTGTTTGGTTTTGTATATCGTAGAAAGTAGTAACTTCCTGAAATACTTGAAAAGAAAATAGTTTGCGTCCTCAGTCAACCACTCTTAGATGTATGTCCACAAAATGGGATGTTTTCTGGAAGTTGATCGTACATATCTTTTTCGGAGTTATTTTCTTGAAAATTCGTCTCGTTGAAGAAACCTGTACTGATTGCGTAACTCCGAGAAACTAAGTAAATTGTTCATTCTTGTGTCTCATGTTGGTCCCTGTTCATCTTACAGTTCCTCATCACAATGTGACGCCTTAAACTTTCGTTCATACAGTTATCTTATTCATTTTTATGTAAAGTGGTATGAATCTGGGGTAAAAGGGTTTTCAAGTAACATACCTTGATAGTAGGTACGGTAAGAAAAGAGGATGACTATTTCAAGGTATCTGCTGCTTTTTCGTGAATCAAGGTAAGAGCGATAAAGTTACATTTGTGCTGTCTATAATGAACAATCACCGAACATGCATTATATGTATGAGTACATAAGTTATCATATCGATAAATTTTGTCTTGCTGTTCGGCTTTTTTGTAGCAGTTTGAACAGAATACTTTGACGCAGCTCATCCATCACCTATCTAACTCTGATCTACACGAACTCTTTCCTGAAGCACGCGTTTTAGCCTTGGAATTCGCTGTAGAGAAGATTTTTGACCTTGATCTTATCGATGATTATATCATGGCGTGTCAGCGTCGAGCGGCTGATGCCTGGCAAAAGAAAAGCCAAATGCTGCGTGATAAGAATTTACGTAAGAAGGATAAGAAAGATAGTGCAGTTGAAGCTGGTAAAGCTAACAGCATATCTGCCAGTCAAAACGATGAGTCCACGTCGAAAACGAACGGTTCTGCAACCGAGCAGAAGGATGAAGCTGAATTCGACAGTAAGTTTGTCAACTAAACAGACTTTTTTTCGTTTGAATTCTATTGTATAAATTTCATTACCTCTAATTGTGCTTACGCTTGTTATTGCAGATGACTTAGCATCAATTGTAAAAAACAGACGCGCTCTAGCTGCACGAGCAGCAGCAGAAAAAGAAGAAAAGGAGAATCTTGAACGTCAACGACGTCTGGAATTGGCTCAAGAATATGCTGAAGAACGTGCTATAAATATGGTCACTCGACTTTATGATGTTCGCTCTACAGAGGCTAAATGTGTTCTTCGTATCAATCCCATCGGTTATGATCGGTATTATCGCCGAATATGGTACTTTCGTTGTTCTCCTGATCGTTTATTTTTGGAGGCTAATTGGGCTTGCTCAGATATCATGTACTCAGCTGATCCATCAAAGAGTATGTTTTCTTCTTCATTTTTGATTTATGTATTGCAATGAGAGTTGGTTTTCTACAATATGATAATTGAATAATTTCACCTTAATTTCTTGTCTTGTTTCAAATGTAAAATCTCATGTATATCTTCTTTTTATAAACTCAGAGGCCAACAGTGCAGATGATACATTCCCGGAACCTGCTCATGTGGCTATGAAAGACGATAAGCCAAACAGCGGAACATTATCTAGATCCTGGAGTAGTTGGTACTTTTATGATCACCCACAGCAGTTGGACGAATTATCAAGTTCTCTATTAACAAGTGGTATTCGAGAAAGTCAATTGAAGAATCAACTTCTAACAGATGGATTTTTAGAGTCACTAAAGAAAAGATGGAAATGTACTCCTATTGATGAATCCCCTATAAATGCAGAGGATACTACCGCAGGCGAAACTCCAGCGAATTCAGTCAAAAGAGTACCCGAGAAACGGTTAGAGTTATATTTGTGATATGTACAAATAATTTCTATTTGTTATCACCCTTACTTCCACTGCCGTCGTGAATGTTTGTATGACTAATTTGGCCAATATGTTTGCAAAGGAGCGGTGTAATCGGTTGTCTTTTCTCTCTCAGTCTGTATCATTGGGCCTTTTTGAAGTGACTAGTTATTTTAAGACTTAACAATCAAATGCTTATGCTCAGTGTTCAATACCATTTCGATCAACCACATACAGTATTCTTTAGCTAATTAGTCTCGGTCACACACACACACACACACACAGACTGTAGCTATATAGGGATTAAAGAAATACGGTTTCATAATTTGCTGTTTATTATGTATTTGGTAAAAACCTGACGTAATATAGGCATCAGGGAAAATATACCTTACTAAGTATTTAGAAGCTATGTGAGAAACATAGTATTGGCTTCATCTGGATGTACACTCTCCATAGTCGCTTCAAGTCAGGAATCTGTCTCGTTTTCTGGTTATGTTAATCGATTCTATGTTTAATGATACTAATAATCTGGACTGCGAACTCACATCTTCGGTCTGTAACGGCAAAACATTTAATCTACGGTCAGCAACAGATGGAAATGGCTATTTCAGTATGACTACCTGTTGATTCACTACGTCTTTCAGTTAGCCAACTGCAATTATCTAGACAACAATAAACGGTCAAGTAGAGAGAAACAGGAAAATGTTTTAGAGTATGTTTCTTATGAGTAGTTAGATCAATAACATTGAATGAATGTTACATACAGTTTAACGTACACTAACCGTCTGATGATCACTAGTTTATTTCGTGGGTGTGTCAGCCAGATTTTCACTCTCTTTCAGATCTGGAAATACAAGTATAGATCACGACTTGTAAAGATGGCATTCAGCACCATTGATTGAGATGCCTTACAGCAGTGTCTTTTGCTGACGGAAATGCCCTGCTGAAGGCTTTTTACTCGAATACTCGATATCATGCTAGAGCCTTTATAGTGGCATCAGTTGAATTATGTGCGTTTGTTGGTGTCCATCATGTCCATTTTATTTAACTTTACAATACTTGTGTTTATGAATGTCTCTCTTTGTTCAACTTTACGGAGATAGATCTAATCTTGGGAGACTTTGCTAGCTCAGTAGTACTCAGATGATACAGTCTTGAAAATATAGTCTTCTGGCCTCCTTGACTGAAATTTTAAGAATGACGCAAGAACAAGTATATTTGCAGAATAAAATGAGCTCATTTTACTTCACGACCTTTCATCAGCTGCAATAGCCTACAGTTGAAATGAAATACTTCTAGTAATATTGACATGGTATACTTTGAATATGCAGAAACAACTGAAGATTTGAATTCCAGGATTAACATAGGATTCATAATCGAAATCTTAGTCAAAAGCAATGGCAATTTGTATCTACTGAGATTGAAAATTCTGGAGTTGTGGAAAGGCGAGGACAACAAACAGACAGGAGTGTAAAGAAAGGTGTTGTTTAAGACCTAGTAGACTATGCAGTAGCATGAAAAAACGTTAGGTTTACAGTCAGTCAGTAATTAGTGAAGAGATAATGCAGTCAAAAAAAGAAAACACATGTGAACTGATATACACAGTCGGAGGCGGTGTGAGATTGTTATTTGTCTACTTTTGACTGTGTTACTGAGCATACTGTATTGTAAACTGATATCAGTCTGACAGCAGGGAAGTTCCTTCTCAATGCAGCTTTTATTCGTCTGTCTATTCTTTCAGATGTCTCATCGCCTTAGAATTCTAGACGAAGGAAAACAGGCTTCTTTTCAACAGTTGGTTGCATCATCTCTTCATTATTTACTTATTAAATGTCAGTCACTCAACCTAACGACTTTCCCAGTTTTTTCATACTAGATTTTTAACAACACCTTTTTTTACACTCCTGCCTGTTTATTGTCCTCGCCTTTCCACAACTCCAGAATTTCTATCTCATTAGATACAAATACTATTGCTTTTTACTAAGATTTCGATTATGAATCATATGTTTCCTATGCTAATTCTGGAATTCAAATCTTCATTTATTTCTGCATATTCAAAGTATGTCATGTCAATATTACTAGAAGCTTTTCACTTTAATTGTAGGTTGTTTGGAGCTGTTCTTGCATTGCTCAAATTTGTCAAGGGAACTAAATGTATGAAATTTGAAAACGTTTGGGATACGTTTCTCATCACCTAAATTTAAATTATTACTTCAGGGACCTAATCTGCGTGAAAACTTCGCCTGATGATAGTAATTGAAGTGGTTGAGTGTGTTAACCATTTCATTTACTCGTGAAATCGGATGAACTTTGGCCGGTCGGCGGCTGATCAGGTCTGCACGGATGTAAGTTGGCTTTTGCCAACCTAATCCCCTACGGCCCCGTCGAGTTACTTGATTGGTTAGTAAGGATTGGATGCACTGTGGTGGTTCTTAGTGTCCGGCTACATGGTTATGAAGCAAAGCCATTGAAAGCAGACGGCTTATTAGAGACTACATGTGCTTGACCATCATCGTCCTCATGGAGCAGGCTATTCATCGGGGAACCACATCAGTAAAGCAGAAGTCATTCGTAGGGTTTTAGTTGGGAGAAGCAAGTTCAGCTTATGAGGGTATAAGCCTCGGAGTTAAATAGCTGGGTTATGTTTCGTATACCTAGTCGCTGTTTACTCTGAGATGCAATGTAAGCTGAAGCAAGTTAGGTTGGAAAAAGGTTCAGCGTGACCAAAATAAAATATCAGCTCGTGAAGTCTTTAACTGTTATTTTTGACCATATAATGATGTCTAGGATTCTGGGTTAAGGCCTGTAAGATAGGCTAGATTGACGGTTGACAGCCCTATATTCGTGTCAGAACTGATCCCAGTGGTTCAGAATTCTCCACGCCTTGTCTTCATTTTCACAGTTGTATCTCTTTGCGTAATAATCTTGATGTAAAATGTACGAACTTAGATCGTTTCGCAGTTATTCTGTGTTTCATGTTAATGCTGACTAACTTAACAAGTAGTTTGTCTGATCGTAGTAAGCAAAGAAAACTAGTCGAATGGTTTCAATTTTTCCTCGTAAAGCTTGGATTACTTATTGCTGATTTTTTGTAGACGTGTTCCAGTTTTGATTATACTTACTTCATTTGTCTTATAGTAATCTTGACGCTGGGGCTGCTTTGGCGGTGGCATTATTGAAGGTGAGTTTTTTTCCACTTGCTTTTGCACGTTATCATTTACTTTAAATACTTCAATAATTTAACCTATTATAAAAATTACTTGCTAGTAGTTTTCATGTTAATGTAAAACTGAACGGAACGGGATCATTTTAATTCTTACTACCCGCCTTGAGTTTACTCATGGGTGCAGTTGTTGGTTTGTAACTCAGCACCTTTAGACAATCTATTATCAAGATTAGATTACGCCTGATGACTAGGTACAGGTTGACATCGTATTCGACAAAGTGGAGTTGGAGGATATAATAAATCTTCACTTATCGCTCTTACCGTTTATATGACATTTGCACTGAGAAGACTTAGACTTCAGTTTACACTTCAAGGGTTTATGAATCAATAATTGTCCCTTTAATACTAGGTGGAGCTGTGGGTCGTTGGTATAGGCACTTATTGCCAACCGATGGGTAACGGGTTCGAATTCAGCCTTACCTACCGAGGTTTAGACAGTCAGATGGTATCAATAGCCCTCACACGACAGGTGTAGCTCATTATCGACTCGTTTGGAATACAAATAGATCCTGTTAAGACAAGAAAGCATCATCTCAGATTTCAATGTTAAGTAATCCTACAACCATACTACCTACAAATATTAAACTTATTATCCTCTCTGGCAAAATACAAAATCTCGCTAAATGTGTCTGTCTTCAAACTTTCCGTTTTAGAATATTTTAGATACCGAAGTCCGGTTAAGATCTGGTGGTCTTGGCGGCGTACCAGACTTCACAAAATGGCAAGAACGTTTAGCCCGGATACAAACATCCTATGGATTCCCAGAAAATGCTGTTGTTGGACATTTATCTTTAAAACACGTCTCATCATCTTTATTCAATCAATCGGAAGCTTCGAATAAAGCAGAACTTGGCAGTGCTTTGATTGAAGTAGCTGAAAATATAATGCCACGATTTTTAAATGTACCTGATCTATGTACCAAGTCAAAATTAAGTTCCATTCATCATGGAACAGATCCTGTAAATGGTTTGAAAAACTCAATACTTGATCGTGCATCTCGTGCTAATTCTTCATCGGGTGAAGAGTCAGATGCATCTGAAAGCAGTCATTCTCAAAAACTAGATAAAGCTGTTTTGGATCCTGAGGCTCATGAACTACGAACGCGTACTTGGATGACCGCATGGCGCAATGAAGTTCAAAACGCTCGTACTCTTGCTCGGTTGAATCTCTTACATGTAATATGACGCAAGTATTTTTTAGGCGTTACTTGTTTAGATTGTCAACTCTTTTGTTTTTATGGTGACACTAACTTGATATGAATGCCTGTCAATATCTCACATACTCGTACCCACCGTACATAATTCTATCTACGAAAAAGATCAGCACTTTTGGATCTCATTTCAAAAATGAGCATCGCAATCTTCAGACGACTAACGAATTATCTCTCTTCATTGTGGAGGAGGTCTTTTTCTATCTTTTACAGTGTGTAGTGAGCGCCTCGGCGTTGAAATATGCAAAATAGCCTTAAAAAAAGCTGATTATTAGTTAGTATTTATTCAGTTGTAATGCTGCTTCATAAGTAGGAAATGTGTATGTATTTTACTGAAACTAGTTTCAAGGAGTTGAATATCTAGTAGGTAAGTTATATCAAATGTTAGTAACGCTTTGCATTTCTCCTTTTCCCGGCAACTTTTGATTGAACCTGGTGAAGTTCTTCATAGACTAACTTCTACTTTGAGCTCACTTTTTATGTGCTCACGTGCTCAGGTAACACGAACCTTAGGTATTATTATTATTATTATCATTCCTAGTCCCCTGAATTCCTAGTGGGACATAGGGCTTCAGTAGCACGTCGCCATTTCACTCTGTTCTCTGCAGTCTTTTGGACCTGGCTCCACGACTCAACAAAACCTTTCATTTCTTCATCACATCATCTCATCCATGTCACCCTCGCCTCGGCCGCCCAACTCGTCGTTTCCTCTTTGAGCCCCACTCAAGGGCCTGGCGCACGTCTCCGAAAGGTTTTCTCAGTTCAGTGTATGCCCAATCCATCTGCAATCTCTTCTGCATATTTGTTGGGCGATAGGTTCTTAGTTGGTTCGTTGCCAGACAGAGTTCCTTGTTGCTTATTCCTATTATTCTGGCCATTTGATCGATGTTCATTATCGAGTGAGCGTAGGGCGGCACCTGTTGATGAATGTCTGTGGTTTATTGGGAGTACTTTTCGTAACGCGCCAGTTCTATCAACCATCACATAGAAGCACTGACTTGACTGGAATAGTGTTGAAAATCCAGATCTTGTTTTTTATGCTGAGTTGAGTGGAGTACGGTAGGTCTCCAAACTGGTTTCAGATTAATGAAGGCCTATCTTGCTTCTTCGATTTTGGCTTTGACATCCTCATCTGTGTTACCTGTGGTTGAAACGATGTTGCCTAGGTGGTGGGTGAAGGAGACAACTTCCTTTAGGTTTTCCCGTTGATGGTGATTGGTGCTCGCTGTTGTTGGTTGGGTATCTTATCACCTCTGTCTTCTCTGCGTTAACCTGAAGGAAGTACCTTATTCCTTCACTGCCTTACCTTTCCTGCCAATTTGTTAGTTTTCGCCTGTAGGTCTTCGAGTTTATGCGATAAGACATTAGACGTAAATCATTATCTGGGAAATCCAAATCTTCTACGGTCTTTTCATCGGTCAAACAGCATATGCCCCTCTTCTCGCTCCTCACAGTTGTCTATTGCATGATCCAGTTTTATCCAGTCGACTACAATCAGGAAGATCATTAGTGATAGTAGGCAACCTTTTCTTACTCCTGTCTTCACTTCAAATGGCATCACTGAGCTTTCCATTGTGAACCACTTGGCATGCAGCATCGTCATATAGCTGTTGAATAAGGTTGATAAAGGTTTATGGTACTCTGTAGTGTTGAAGCAGTTGCTAGATTACTTCTCAGTCGGCGCCTCAATCGAAGGCCTTTTCAAAATCGATGAAGTTGAGGTGAGGAGTTGACTGTCATCCTGTACTCTTTTTATATAATGATGCATAGCGTAGCGTTGTAATTTGATCCGCACATGATTTGTTCTTTTTTAAGCCAGCCAGCCTGCTCCGGTCGTAGTTGTGAATCTAGCGCATCCTTTAGTCTCTCCAGGATGATGCGGCTTAAGATTTTGCTTGGGGTGGACAGGAGAGTGAATCCGCGCCAGTTTTTGCAAAGACTCAGGTCTCCCTTCTTCGGGAGTTTGACGAGGTAGCCCTTCTTCCATTCGGCAGTTAGTTAATACTATTGGAGCCATCAAAACATGATTTCCCACCTAATTGATTATATCGATATGTTTAGGTAAGTAGGTAAGACAGATACTAGTATTACGAGTATATCGTTTACATTAATGTTGTAGGTCTATGTGCTTTCGGAAATTTTTATTTAACAGGGTATAAAAAAACTTGAATTTGGGTCTGTCAAGTCATGAATGTATCGGATGTATTCATCGCCTACTTATTTAAAAAATCGCTCGTTTGATGCAAAATCTGGAAATTGAAGTTTTGTGGATATTACTTTCTTACTGTTCGATGTATAATAATGCGTTTTAAAGTTGATTGATATTGGTGGGAATTTTAGTCAGTCCCCTTTGCTTTCATACAATAATAATATTTTCGACGAACATGTCTACGTTTTAAAAATCTCGTTTTTCTTCGCCGTCATATTCCTAGGAGCTATAGCATTAACCTCTGTCTGTTAACTCTATATCGTTGCTACACACCATTTTAAATATAACCTCATGAAATTATACTCAATGTCTATTTACATCATGAAGCTACTTTGTTACTATTGCTTTCGCGATATCTTTTTGCTTAACTAGGCTTGTCTGGATACTTGTGTTCGTTGGGAGAAGTCGGTTGAAGATGCTCGCTGTCGCGTCTGTCGTCGGAAAACAGATGATGATAACCTACTTCTATGCGATGGATGCAATCTAGCCTTCCATCTTTACTGTTTGCGTCCTCCATTGAAACGTGTACCGGCTGGTGACTGGTTCTGTCCTACGTGCAGACCAGTTTCGCGTGCCCTCGAAAAGCGTAAGCGTGAAGAACGCCTAGCTCGATCTGCAAGACGACGGAAACATGCTATATCATCTGATGAAGAACAATCAAATTTTGACGATGATCAAGAAAGCGCTGAAGCTGAAAGTGTTTCAACAACTAAGCGTCAAAATCCTCGTGTGCGTAGATCCAAAAATGGTAATGATTTAGTTCCGCGTGCGAAACGTTCAGTTAGTCCAACCAGTCGTAATCCAGGTAAGATTTCGGTAATTTTGTAGTTATTTCCACATGAGTTACATGTATGTAACTTATTTAAATTCGAGTTCCTCTTTTTTTAGTTTCGTCAAGGAGTATCAAACATGACACATCTTGTCTTGTCTGTTCACATTCATTTGGTGATCTGGTTTCTTGCTCCACTTGTCCAAATATATTTCATCTAGACTGCCATGAACCTTCTTTGCATCACATCCCACGCGGAGATGGTTGGCAGTGTTCCAGCTGTCGATTAAATAAGAAACGCTCAACTATAACAAGCTATTTTCAGAGCAGAGACTACCGTCGAAAAGTGTAAGTTATGTTTTGTAAAAATATTCATTTTGACTTATTGTTTCCACCTAAAAATCATTAGATTTGTAAACGATTGAGGTAAGCATTCGACTACCACCTGCTAATTTACGATTTACAACCAGTTTCGGTTAGGGTGACCTGATAATGTTGCAAACTCGTATTATGTGACTTGTAGCTTAGTAATACTGTACTGTACCTGTACGTTATCACCAAGATGTTCAATATATCCACCATTTTATTATTATTATTACTGATATGATTATTATGACTATGATTATTGACACTGCTACTATTATGGTGACTCCTACCGTGATTATTATTATTATTATTATTATTATTATTATTACTGTTACTGTTACTGTTACTATGTTACGGCAGAAAAACTAGGATGTGTACTAATTTCGTCTTTATCTCCGGTGAAATTGGTATAATTTACTGTAACCCCACTACTATGATGATATTTTAAAGGTATGTTGCATATCGTTCTAGTGGCATCGAACGAATATGTGTAGGTTCATCCATAAAATGTAGACTGACTCAGATTCTTGATATGCTAGTGATTGCGCCATTAGAGGCTCACTTTAATCATTTCACCCTACCTAAGTTTTCGACGTACATTTCCGATTGTGAAAACTATATGTTTACTCGTTTTTGCTAAGTATTCTTTTACTTTTCAGCTACCAAGGAAATTTTAAAAAGAGAACCATAAGTCCTGAAGAACACAGTGAAGATGAATTCATAAATAATACATCTGCCCGTTTAACTCGTAGGCGAAATAAATCCCGGCGAAGTGTTGCGACTTCTGATACAGATGATCAGCGGCAATCAAGTGAAGCATCTTCTGATGTGGAAACTCGTTCTGGTAGTCAGCGACCGAATTCTCGCCGACGAATTGCTTCACAATCAGTATTCACTCTCAGTTCACAATTAAATAAGCAAGCTAAGCGTAGACGATGTCACTTTTCGAGTCTGGATGATACTTCTTCAGAAACAGAACAAATGGATGAAAGGTCATCTGAGACTTTGTGTTCTCAAATTCTAGGTGCCGTATATAAGCATAAACAATCATGGCCGTTTAGAAAACCTGTAGATAGAAATCAGGTAATACTTGATATTCATACGTGACTATTTTATTTCTGTTATTGAACTACCATTTCTTGAAGTTACGTTTATTATTTACCACTACTAACAATTCAGAACTAGTCCTGTATATGTATCCAAATAGTTTACGGGTCTGTCATATATATTTCTACCATTCAAGTTGCATTTCTTGGTGTTCATATTATACTGGGTTCACGTAGCATTGCTTGCATGTGGTGGAATCATATTGTGTGGTTTTGAGGTTAGGTGTAGAGCACTGAGAGAATTGATTCATTAACGCATATAAGCGCTCGGTTTTCAAGCTGCGGATATCGGATTCAAAACACCCATTTCTTTCTGGACAACCCTTTAGCCTCATAAACCCTTATGCAACAGGTGTCTGATAGCCCGGTACGTAAAACATGTATCCTGCTAAATTTTATAATTATTTGTATTAGGAAAGTGAGTAGATTAGGTTGTGGTTGTTCATCGATTTAGGTTGTTTCAACGTGTTTTGCACTTCTCAAGCCACCACCTGTCTCGATGCTCGACGTTAGCCGTAGTAGGATCATTCTAAAGATCTTAAATATTCAAAAACTTAATGTTCTTTTTCATTTTCAATTACCTGGTGAAGTTTTGAATATTTTTTTCCACACTTTCTTTTCTACCTCGCATGTACACACACCTTGTTCTTGCAGCTCTCGAAGACGCTATTTTCCTACTGTTTATTTCCCTCTAATATGCTAATTCATTTGTCCTCCTCAAAGATACTTCATTGTATCATCTTGGATTCATTTAAACCTTCTGTCTAGTACTGTCTTCCCTTGTTTTATGCTAGCGTGTTGTCAAGATATCATTAATATGATTATGCGCAATAAATTCTGCTCCGAAAGTCATCCAGCAAATAATACTTTACCGCATCACTGTGTGCTGTATCAGATAAGCAATCCAATGGTGGGGTTTAGGCCGTGAAACAATGGTGCAGTTTTGCTCTTACTTTGGGTTGGTTTGTCTTTTTGTCCCTGTGATTGTGCTTTTATTTCCAATGAATAAAATGGTTGCGCACTACTTTGACGCTACCATATTTTAAAACGCATTTTGTATTTATTAGATTGTTCTGGATGCAGATAGTCTTGGATTTCAGTATAGAGGTCGTCATTAGTTCTGTTTCATAAGGAAGCACTGACGTCTCGTGATGAATTTCTTCATGGGGGATGAGGTGTAGGTAATATTCTATTTACTTAATTTCCAGAAGGTATTTAATACAAGCATAACTTGAATTGTGATCTTATTCGGAAAGTGCTTCGTTGATTTTCTTTCAGTGGAGTGGTGAAATCTGTGACCATTACTGGTCCCAGACCAAGTCTCCAAGCAGATAAAGCGGTTCTATACATTCAATCACAAAGGTAGCATTCCTGGTCCTTTTGAGTTACCAGACTCCATATCAAGTGGTGAATGTACCGTATAACTTTTATTGCTCCAAATAACTGTGAAACAACTATTATATATTAAGAATGTGGAAAAACTATAGGATTCGGTCAGGGTGTGTTTCTGTAGCTTATTCTCACATAGGTGGTTCACACAATGAGTCTGGTTGGGAATTATCCTTTGTACATCTTGAGGTGTCTATGTTGCGTGCAACTGCGAAACTGTTTTCAATACTTTCCCTAGATAATTGAATAATGTGATCACAGTCACATTCAAAGCAGTTCTTTTTGATTGAAAGCTCTAGATATCTTACACCAAATCACGAGCATTTTATCTTATCAGAGATATAGAACATGACGAGTCGTTACTGAGTTTCATTATTGTAGCTTCAAGTTGAGTGAGTATAAATCCTCTAGTGGAGCCTATAAATATAAAACTGTATACCTACAAAGATTGATTGCTGAATCTTTGTTCAGTGACTCAACATCCAACAAAGAAATGACGCAACACTTATACTGGTGGTATTGAAATTTTTACTATCACCCAAAAAAGAACACGAGGTGATAGGAGTATAAAATGAGATGTCAAAAGTCGAATGATTATAAGTAGTAATTTACGCTCAGTAAATAATACTGTATTACCATGTGCTATATCAAATCTGTTATTGGTGCCTAGTTGATTATACAATCAGCTGATAGCCTCATTGCTACTTTAGTTTACAACTGTATACTGTCGACTGACTAGTCGAATAATGCCTATTACATGGTCCGAGTAAATTTGTCCAAACTACTGAACATCGAGGGGGGGGGAAGTGATTATGATATGGTATTCAATAATCCAATAGTCAATTGAGAGTAATACGAATATGAGTAAATGTCGATAAATAAAATCCGGCAGTCATCCAGAGGTAGTGAAATGCATATGTAACTACTTTATCTTCAACATTTCAGTTACTGATTATCAACGTTGTTGTCCACTTTTTTGGTGTTATTTCTAACTCAACCGCATTAGGTACCAGACTATTATGAAATAATTACCGACCCTATTGACTTATCAGTAATGCGTGACGGGCTTTCAAAAGGACGGTATAGTGCAGAAACTGTTACCGCAGGTTTGGAAAAATTGGTACATGATTTCGGCACTATGTTTTACAACGCTGAATTATACAATGCTGCTGACTCAGATGTTTGGTTGGCTGGAGAACAGTTGGAAAATTTCGTAAAAAATCAGTTTGCTCAGTTAAATACAGGTAAGTTGAGTAGTGTTAAATATCTGCGAACTACTATTTACTGCTTGTCACTTGATTTTTCATCAGTTTGATATTCGTCTGAGTGTAGGCGTAATCAAAGCTGTGCGAGTGGGATTTGTGCATTGGTGGAGCATAATTCCATTGTTTATTGTTCGTTTGATAAAGTATTCACAGAAAATAATATTGTGTCATTCTGTGCTATATCAAATAAGCAGTATAGTATTTAATTAAAGTTGTCTTTATCCTTTTGTTGAAAATTTCTAGGAAAACTGCATACATCCGTGGGTCTGGGAACTTTGTTTATTCCTATGAATCTATCTTAAATAACTAAAAGCAGATAAAATATGCTGTCTTAGCAGTTATTGAAAGAACTACAAGGGTTTTGGACATGTAGAACACATGGGCATATCGAAAAAGTGGATACCTTCTGACTTAGCACTTGAAAGTTATTTTTTGATCATTGAGTTTTCATATGCGTACACAATGTGTACACAATTATAAGTTGAGTACTGGGTAATGGAAGCTTATATGGCTGTTACACGATTCGGAGAAATAAAGGCATGACTCAGTTGTCTTTATATTTGACTGAAAACCGATGGGTTTAGGGTTCTTCATCTCTTCACCTACGTCCAAAACAACATGTGAGAATAACCAGCTTCAGTCATATACTGGCCAACTTCACAACTGGAAAGATTTAGCGTCCTAAACGCCAGAATCTTGAAGTATCGTTGTTTATGGTGATAAATTAGCATCATTGGATTAAAAATGGACATACCAGTAACTCAAAGAGATCTGCTGTTATATACGAATTAGTAATCTGTGTACGATACGTTGATGGTTCAATGTTTTTTAACTAACCATCTTGTTGAACAATATTACCAGCCAATGTGTTGCTCCTGTTTAGGGACTATTGCATTATGATGGCACTAGCCAATCAGAATAGTTACCACTTATTGTAATAGAAGGCTTCTTAGAAACTTCTCGATATTGAAAAGTATAATCGCCTTTCTGGACACATAGATGACCTTTATTAGGATAGTTTAACTAGTTTCCTATATTCTTAGTTGTCTAATATTTAACATCTTGCTAAATATCAAGTTTCATTCACTGCCTTGATATTCTACTCTTCCATTTAGGTGTTGTGTACTCTAGACCGGCACTTGGTGACTTGTAAAATTATCTTCGAACCTGTTGCTGGATTGATTTCTCTTACATGCATAGATCTAAATCATCTTCCGTAATCAGTTACGGACTTTATTGAATGAACAGTCTATTTCACATCCATATGAACTCTTTCATCTTCGGATGTTAGCTAGCTCTTGCTCTTCCTGTCGTTTTATTACTTTGAAAAAAGTGTTGCATGCATTTAAAACTCAGAAAAAACTACTTTTAGTGTCTCTTTGTTGTAAACTTTATTTATTTTTTTAATTTTTTCTCAAATAAACCATTTAAACAGTCGACTACCACTATAATTTCTTAACTTTCCCACAATCCAGGTGTTCAGTTATTCCTTTATCTTTTCCAGTGAATTAATCTTGTATCGTTTATACCTCCTGTGTGTATATGACCTGCAAATTCTCCATTTGAAACGAATTTTGCATCTATATTTTAAAAAAGTGTGTACTTATCACCTTTTTAACTTCTCCACACTCTTTTTTGTTTATTATGCTCTTGTGTATGTACAGCCTTTTAATTGTAGTCTCTGTCTATTCTTTTCTAAAAAACGGATCTTATATATATAATACTGTTTTAAAAAGTCAACATTCGTGTATAGGTTTATTTTTTGTGTTTGCATGTGGTCAACAGTAATAATTTGTCTATCGTCATGTCTTTTGTTAAACTTATACCATTGCAGTACTTGTGTTGCACTGGATACTTCATTTTTCTGATGATTTTAAGGAAACGCGTTATATAAATTGTTATCTATCGGTTGTGAATTATAACTGATAGTATGCATCGTTTATTAGTTTGTGTATGATTACTATTTTTGTTACGAAAAAGGGGGAAAGAGTTGATAAGATTGGAATTCATGACATGGGATAATTGAGAAAGTTAAGAAGATGGAAATTGTTAAATGAACAGTTTGCAAGCTGTTTACTATCTTTGACGTCAACAGTAATATTTTCTATAAGGTAAATATTTTTACAAATATAAAATCAATGAGCTTAATTGTTATCAACTTTGACAGTACCGTTTATAATTAACTAGCTAGTTTATCTAATTTATTGATATACTGGTCTACTCAAGTCAACTGATTAGAATCATGTGATTTGCGCCTTTTGAATATAAGAGTGGATTCGGTACCACCAGATGAAATTCCAACCCACTAAATTTCGAAAAACTGATCATTTACAAATTTTTCAAATCAATTACATGGAAACTGAGAAAGTTTTGATCAAGTCAATCAAAAATATAGTATGATAAATCCTAAAAAAGTTAAAAGTTAGTAATACCCTCCCGTGAATCGAATTCGGTTCACCTAGAGTACAAACTCCCTACTAAATGTGCCAAGATGGTATAAATTTACGAATGATTAGAGCTCTAATATACTTATGTCACCGTTTCAATAATAACGCCTTAAACATAGTTTCACTAAATAGCTTGTGATGTGTATTTAATGGCAGTTCAAAATGCATATTTGATGCTGATATAAAGCCAACAGCTGATACACGTGTGGACCCTTGAACAACGACCGTTAGCCTTCATCCTCAAGGGACACTCGAAAGTAGTAGCAAAATGATAAAAGGTTTATTGCCCAGTGAAAAGTGTAGCGATTTATGTGTTTTCAGAGAACTCACTATTTTACACATTTTTCTAGAGATATTTTCTATCAATTTGATCATATTGGTCAATCTGACGTTCACACGTGGTTTTTGCGAATGTTCGACATAATGATTGGTCTTCGGGTTTCGCTCCATAACGAATATTTACACTTATCAAATTATTCAAGCCGACTTGTTTCTATATGGTTGGAACGTTTCTGTGTTTATGCCGCGAGCCGTGCTCCACTGATTTTGATACTGTCCTCCACCACCGGGTTATGGATTCACAACAACTATCTACCGAACCCTATGCAGGTAATTATAATCCTCAGTCCCCATACAACAGATACACCTCATATCCTAGTATGTAGTTGCTAAATCGCTTCTGAAGTTCCAATGATCGAATACTTTTATCTTCTGATGTTGTGTGTAACTCCACAGGCGTACATTGGTATATAGAAAATGTCATTTCTAAGCTTGACAAGGTCAAATTGACATATGCATAAGAGTTCTGAAATTTCTTTGATTCTCAGCATCTCAAGACTAATACAAGTATTCGTATATTCAGAATTGTTTATATCGAGATTTCAGCAATGCAAACAATCTGCTAGCGAGTGGTATACATCGAACTAGGTATAGACATAATTCATTTGTCATGTCTTTGCTTATAATGTTCTCTCGAACTTCAGTTAACAGGATATTTGAATCCATAACGTGCAAATATTTCCGCGACGCAATTTTTGTCCCCCAAACCGCGTACCCATCATATACCTACTAAAAAAGTTTCAGATAACTATTTTTCAGATTGTAAGAAGGAGGAAATTTTCAATGAAATAGTTATTGGGATCTGGGGTTATTTTAGTTAGATGGTAACTTTATGGTAAATCGAATGACTACGCTATTATTTTCAATGGCCGACTACTTCGTACTCGATTTTACATGGTGTATTAGATGCATCGCACAATGAGACAGTATTATTTATTGGATTACATTTCGAACACAGTTTATTGTCCACATTCATATCAGGACAACTTTGAAACACGGTTTATATACATATCTGAAACAGATAATAGGGTCACTCCTGTTGTATTTATTGGGTGTTGATTCGATAAACAAAGATTCGGTTAACAATCTATCCCTCCATCCCGCTAAGTTAGTTTTTAGGATTTCCACTGTTTCATCCAATTCTGTGTAATTGTATCCATGGTTATGGCCTTCACCGTTTTCTTATTCATCAGTAAACTGAACTCCATTGACTACTAAATTTATCTGTGTCAAGAAACTCTATTTGCTCCGATTTCAACACTGTAAACGTGTCATCTACATATCGAAACCATATTCCTGAAGAAGAACTAAATGTTTTGCGAGCCACATATTCCGAGCCACCCACAAATGTTTGTCACTATAGAGGATATTGGTCGTGTCATGGCAACTTCTGTTTGTTTGCATGTTTTATTCCGAACCTTGAAGACTTTTGAAGTCAGGTTTGGTTGTATTCTTAGCATGATGTCCTCTAATGGTACCTTCGCAGCATAAGTTCATGGTCATTGTTGTGCTTATTTATAACTGCTTCCAGACCTTCATCAATCGGCAAAGCAGTATTCAAACTGATTACATCAAAACTAAACTGTCGTCTATATATATATATATATATATATATATATATATATATATATATATATATATATATATATATATATATATATATATATATATATATATATAATTCTACTGACTTGAAGCATTAGAATGCTTCAAGTCAGTAGAATTAGTTAGTCAGCAAACATTTCCCAGATGTTCAATTTTGTTCACAGATTACGTTGTCCTTTTGAAATTGAAATTATTCTGCAAATCAACTCTAGCTTTAAAATATCACTTCAAGAATTTATCACGAATTACCGGCGTTTCGTTAGTTTTATGGTTGATCATCATACTTTTTTGTCTCAAATATGACAACCAACCTAAATGTCCATTCGAATAATAGGGTTGTGTACATGTTTAGGGGCAATCGATACAAGGTTTATTGATTTATTACTGTGACCAAATATCTCATATGCCTTGATTGGTCACATTTTCTAGTGTTAAGTGCCGACCGAATGCTATCGACTATTTTTTGCAACCCCAATAATAATTGAGTGGTAGGAACTTCGACTGCAGCGGTGGACAACGCAAGTGGTGTTTAAATGAAATGCACTCGTCAGCCTTGTGCAGTGGACAATGAGTCACACCTATTGTCTGATGGTTAATGACACTACTTGGTTACCCAGACCTCGGTAGGGTGAGGTGGGACTAGGACCCGTGACCCACTGATTGAAAGTCACCACTTTAAACCAAAAAGCTATAGCTCCATGTGACGCAATTATATGAGAGGTTTGATAACAGTTAGTCGAAGGTGATTGACAGGAAGCCCTGAAAATATGTTTTATGCTGGTTGCTACTTGTTAGCTAGATGTTTGTATCCACACCCTCCAAGAACTGATGTTTACTCAAATACTTGAAATTGTTACCTTTGTTGTTGGTTCAATAATGAAAATCTTGAATGTTTAATCTGTTCATGCGTCTACATTATCAGTCAGTAGGCATATCAAACAAACCAGAATTACTCCATTGACTTTTCTAATACAGTTTGCTCCTCGTAATTTTATGACCCAAAATACTATAAATGGATTGTAACACCAACAAAAAGACGAAATTAATCACTGTATCAATTGGTGCTTCAAGTACTTGGGGGATTTTTTTCAGTGACCAAGTATTGAGAATAGAGTTCCGCACTACTGATCTTAACTTTGTGTGGATCTCGTTAAGGTGTGCGGTAATACATTCTGTATCCTATAAAAGCCGTGAAAACGTCGAGAACCAGTCTATTCGCTTCGGTGTAATGAAGTTTGCTAGTAAATGTGTGGACTCAGAGATCATTAAATCTTCTCTTTGATAGTTGCTCGTTACTTTGAGAAAAAAGATATGATTCAAACGATAGCAGGTGTATTTGTCAATAGTTCAGCGAAGGAACCCCCGTCAACACATTTTTCCAAATGCTATACAGTCGTATAATGTCTGAAATCTTTCTATTTCATTCTTAAGTCACTGTTCCTGTTTGTTTAACATTTCATGATAATGAGTTGTTTAAAACAGTTAGTTCCCTTTATAAACTTCAACAAAATAATTAGAAGACTTAATTTGTTTGAATTGTATAGTCTATTTGCTCGATACATTTCGGACAATCAGGTCGCACGCGTACTTTTCATAGATACTTATATGGAAGCTTATAATGGGATAAGATCAGATAGGGAGGTTTCGGCGCTCTAGCGACTTTGTACCGACTGATGCATTTGGGTGGGTCAGATCACACTCATGCACCTAATGATACTATCTGGGAATCCAAACCTTGGTAGGTGGAGCGGGGTTCGAACCC